CAGAGGAGTGGATGAGGGAGGGTAAAGGGGAGGTGGGGGAGGGAACTTCAAACAAGATGTAAAATAAGTAAAAAAAATTAATGAATGAAAAAAAAGGAATGGATAGAGTTCAAGGCCAAGTGCCAGTATGTTAAAAAAAAATCTGAGAAAGGTTCAAATGCTCAAAGTTCCCTTGGAGATGCTACATACAGTCCAAGAGCTTCAAATGGGGGACATCGGTGTGCCTGAGGCCCAGGAGTCTCTCTCTCTCTCTCTTTTTTTAGGATTTATTTTATGTGTGTGAGTTTTCTAACTGCATGTATGACTTTGTGCCAGAAGAAGGCATCAGATTCCACTGTAGATGGCCATGAGCCACCATGTGGATGCTGGGAATTGAACTCAGGACCTCTAGAGGAACAACTAGTACCGTCAACTACTGAGCCACCTCTCCAGCCCCGTCCAGGACTATCTTATGGAACTTGGGAAACAGAATCTAGGACTGAATAAAGGGATGTTTGACTTATCTCAGTGTTATGTCTCATCTAAGGTTTTTTCATTATTGTGTTACATATGTATTGATGATAGGTTAATAATTTTGAGTCCTTTCTGGGCGGGGGTGGCACACACCTTTAATCCCAGCACTCGGGAGGCAGAGGCAGGCAGATTTCTGTGAATTCGAGGCCAGCCTGGTCTACAGAGGGAGTACCAGGACAGCCTCCAAAGCCACAGAGAAACCCTGTTTAAAAAAAAAAACAAAAATTAATAATAATTTTTAGACTCTTCCAGGCGTGTTCACAGCGCCAGACTCAGGTTTCAGGGGTAGCCTTCCTCCTGCACAAGGCCCTTCATGGACAAATATCCTTGTAGCCACCATGTTCCTTATTGCCTCCTTCTGAATACCCAACACCAATATCAGAGGGACCCAGAGCCCCCTCCCCACTACCAAGAGATGTGGACCCTCCCTTCCCCACCGTTGGTTTGTAGCAGGAGATAGGTAGGATAAGAAAGGAGGAGGAGGATGAAGTGAGGGAGGGAGGGAGGGTCAGAGAAATCAGCAACAAAGTGAGGACCATGGTGCAGAGAAGACAGAGAAATGCAAGGCCCGCACAAAGGCAGCGTGGGTAGAGATAGGAAGCTTGGGTAGAGATAGGGAGGCCGGGGACAAAGGCAGCATGGGTAGAGATAGGGAGACCACTCACAAAGGCAGCATGGGTAGAGATAGGAAGCATGGGTAGAGATAAGAAGGCGGCGCACAAAGGCAGGATGGGTATAGATAGGAAGGCCACACACAAAAGCAGCATGGGTAGAGAGATAGGGAGGCCGGGCACAAAGGCAGCATGGGTAGAGATAGGCAGCATGGGTAGGTTCAAATAAGAATGTGGCATAAGAACACAGCATAGGGTGACTGACGATTCCACCTCCATGTGTGTCTCTTATACGAATTCTAGGGATCAGCCAGGCACAGTGGCCCACGCCTTGAATGCCTGTAATTAGGAGGCAGAGGCAGGTGGATTTCTATGAGCTTGGGGCCAGCCTGGTCTATGTAGTGAGTTCCAGGACAGCCAGGGCTACACAGTGAGACCCTGTCTCAATAAATACTTAAGTGCTAGGGATCTGAACTCAGGGCCTCATGCCTGTGTGGCGAGCACTTTGTCAACCAAGTCATCTATCTTTCAAGCCCTTTTCTTGTTTGTTTTTGGGTTTGTTTTGATTTTTTTCTAGACAGGATTACTCTGTGTAACTTTGGAGACTGTCCTGCAACTTTGTAGACCAGGCTGGACTCAAAACTCACAGAAATCCGCCTACCTCTGCCTCTCGAGTGCTAGGATTAAAGGCGTGCACCACCACCACCACCACCACCACCACCACCACCACCACCACCACCACCACCTACTAGGTCATCCAGAGAAACAAACAAAAACCTCCACCTGTCCCACTCTAGGGATGCTGACTTTTGTTGTTGGTCAAGTGCTCAGAGTCAGGGTTGGTCCCATTGGGCCCTGTGTAGGGGTGCGGAGAGGCGGGGCCTCTCATCTGGGAGCCAAGCCATCTAAGCGGAGTTCACCTCAGGTGAGTATTCCCTCTGCTCCCTGCCTGCTCAGGGAAGGGGTTAAGATTCCCTGAGCTAAGCCTGAAGGATATGAAAAAGTTCCACTCCTTTCTCCTTCATGATTTATGTCTCCCTTTTAAACAATAGTCCATAAAACACACCATTCTCTTTAAAAAGTAAAAAAAACAAAAAACAAAAAACAAGCAAAAAACTGCCCCTGGGTTCAACAGGGGCAGACAGAATAGATTTTTCCCTTCTGTCCAACACCGAGCAAGGAGACTTGAAACAACTTTCAGTAGGTCCTTTTTAAAGGATTAAAGACAGCTACTAAAAATATTCCCTGCCACCCAGTTGGCCCCAAATATTTTTTTAAAAAGTTGTAAAAGGGGGGGGAAAAGTAAAGATATAAGTAGGTCTCCGTTGCCAGAGGTAACTTAAAGAGTGTTTAACAGAAAGAAACTGAAACAAGACATTTTGCATAAATTAAAGTCTGTCACCTTCTCTGGTAAGAAAGACATTCAGATACCCACAACAAAATTTTGGTGTCTCACCCTCTATCAGGAGAAACCAACCCCCAAGGACAGCTTCAACAGCAGCTTCCTCTAATTGTTCAATTAACCAGTTCAGCTCCTTCCATCCAGATTAAACAATACCCAAAAAAAAACAGAAACAAAGGGGCCATGGCAGTCCATATTGCCTGGCTTGAAGGGACAGGCGTCCTGGTGCCCTGCCAGTCACCCTGGACTACACCTCTCCTGCCTATGAAGAAACCTAGGACCTCGGGTTCTCACGGCGCTGACTGAGTCCCAGAGAAACAGGTATATACTGTCTGAGGCCTGAAAGATGCATTCTTCAGCCTCCCATTGGCAGAGGTGAGTCAACCCGGCGTTCTTTTAAATGGACAGACCCAGTGGGAAGCTCCATACCTGGACCAGGTTGCCCCAGGATTTAGACACTAAATGCAGACTTCCCACCCTTCCATAAGAGGCTTCCTGAGAAAACAGATTATAAAAGAGCCTCTGGCGGGGGGCGGGGGTGGGGGTGCTGCAAGAGTTAAAAACCACCGTCTACAAAATGACTGCTAAGAAAGGCCAACTTTGGCCGGGCTTTGGTGGCGCACACCTTTAATCCCAGCACTCGGGAAGCAGAGGCAGGCGGATCTCTGTGAGTTCAGAGAGGCCAGCCTGGTCTACAGAGAGAGTTCCAGGTCAGGCTCCAAAAACAATACAGAGAAACCCTGTCTCGAAAAATCAAAAGAAAAAAAAAAAAAAAGGCCAACTTTGTCAAAGGTCACCAGCTGAAGGGAGGCAAAAGGAACCTGTCTCAGTAGAATTGCTATCATCCTTCAAATCCCAACTCCAAAGACTAAGAGACAGGTTCAAGAATTCCTAGGAGCAGCTGGTAATTGCTGCCTCTGGAGCAAGAACCAGAATTTGGCAATAGCAAGGCCGATGTCAACCAGCAAAGTTGGGAAACAAGCCCCTTATCTGGACTGAGATGCTACCTAGACTGGACAGCCTAGTGTGGGATGTCCCAGCCAGATTCCAAGTTTGTGCTCCAGTGAATCCAAAACAGGAAAGGGTCCAAATGAGAGACCAACACCCTGACGAACTCTGGGAAAACTGACTTCACCAAGATCAGGCCTGCTGGGAGTGGATAAAAGTACTTGCTAGGAAGCAGAGATTCATAGCCAAACACCGAGCTGAACTCCTGGAATCCAGTTGTAGAGAGGGAGGAGTGAGGAGCAAAGGGGTCAAGACCATGCTGGAGAAACCCACAGAAACAGCTGACCTGAGCAAGTGGGAGCTCACGGACCCCAGTCTGACAGCTGGGGAACCAGCATAGGACCGAACCAGGCCCCCTGAATGTGGGTGTCAGTTGGGAGGCTTAGAAGGTCTATGGGGCCTCTGGCAGTGGAACCAGTATTTATCACTATGGCATGAATGGGCTTTGAGAGCCCATTTCCTCTGGAGGGATAGTCTCTCAGCCCAGATACATTGGGGGGGGCAGCTAAGTCCTGACCCAAATGATATGGCAGACTTTGATGATTCCCCATGGGAGGCCTCAATCTCCCTGGAGTAAATAGGGGGTGGGATGGGGGGTTGGTGGTGGGGAAGGATGGGAGGACGGAAGGGAGAGGGAACTGGGATGGTATGTAAAATAAGATTGTTTTTAATTTAAATAAAAATTAATTTTAAAAAGTACTTGCTAGTTTTTAAAGATACCTTTTCAGGTGGGTAAAAGCATTCCCCAACTGGGCTGGGTCTGCTCAAATGGCAGCTAAAAATCTCCTCCAGGAACTGGTCCCTGCCTTGGCCTCCTAGCAATGGGGTCCAACAGTGGCCTGGTTTTCATTACCAAAACCTCTCAATTAATAGCTAAGGCTTTAGACATAGGCTTAAAAAATCTTGTTTATTTGAGACAGGATTCTCTGGGTAGCCCTGACTATCTTGGAACTCACTCTTAGGCCAGGTTGGCCTTTGCTTTAGTGCTAGGGTTAAAGGCATGTGTCACCACTGGTCAGACCACTCAGGAATTTAACAGGGCCCCAGACTACCACAACTGACTCCATGATGGAAGTACCATTCAGGCTGTAAAACTCAGCACATAGACAGTACCACCTGCCAGAAATGAAAACAAAGGCCTAGTCTGGCAAAGTCCATAGATCAGGGAGAGTCTCTAAATACACTAATCTTGAGTTTGTGCTTCTGTAGTTTGGCTTGTGATTTACTATTCTATTGGTTTAAACCCATGCCCGAGCAGTCTTCTCTGGTGAATACCCCACAACAACATCATAAATAAGAAAAGTAATGTTCAGAAGACCTCAAGTTCAAGGCTGGACTGGGCCATACAAGACTGACCCCTTCCAAACAAAAAAAGAAAGGAGATATATTAATCATCTTGATTAAGCCATTATGCAATATATAAATAGCATGCTGTTCACAAATATGTTATTTTTATTGCCCATTAAGTAACTAAAGGGATTGGGGTGTGGCTCAGCGATAGAGCACTTGCCTAGCATATGCAAAACCATGGGTCCCATTTCAGGGCAAAAGAAAACTAAAATAAGGAATTTGCTCACAAATAAAAACACTTTAAAAATAGGTCCCTTCTCCAGCCCACAAATATCCAAGCTTTTCTTTAACCTGAAGACACCTACAGGACTTGCCTCAGATGCACAAGGCTCTGAGTTCAATGACCAGTAAGTACTGCCTCTCCACTCCACACAGACACCCATGGGGGTCTTTCTGCACCTAAGCTAATTCAATGCTGGAAGTATGTTCCTGGACAGTCTGGGAGCTCGAGGCTGTTGCTGTTGGCTGCTGGTCCTCCTTCTCTTCCAAGCTGTGCCGGATCCCATATCCAAAGTAGATAGCAAATCCTAAAAGGGAATAGAGACAATGAGGTGCAATGGTCACTCCTCTACCTGGATGCCCAGCAAGGATTCCCCCCACAGGCCCCAGGCAGTTTCAAAGAGTGCTGAATCCAGTTGCCCAGGAATCTCTTCCCCAGAAAGCTACTCACTCACCAATCACCATCCAGATTCCAAATCGAGCCCAGGTCCCGGCAGTCATTTGCATCATCAGGTAGACATTCACAAAGATGCTCAGCACAGGGAGCAGAGGCACTGCTGGAACCTGTGGTGACAGCCCGTGAGCACTTGTGCACAGACACCTGAGCTCTCTCCACCCTGAGTGGGACACCCAGCCCTATCTAGGCTCCCTGGCCAGTGCCTGCTCATACTGAAGACCCCAAGGGATGCGCCCCGAGGGACAGGCAGTGAGCACGGAAGCACTGGGCTGGGACTTGTGAGCAAATGGCTTTGTCTTTGTTTGTCTGATCGGTTTTCTCGAGACAGGGTTTCTCTGGGTATCCCTGGCTGTCCTGGACTTGATCTGTAGACCAGGCTAGCCTCCAATTCAGACACCTACCTGCCTCTGCTTGGCAAGGGCTGGGATTATAGGCAACGGATTGTCTTCTTTTTGAACATAGGGTCTTAAATATTCCAGGCTGACCTTGAGCTCAATACACAGCTGAGTAGGCCCCAGCCCCCAGCTCCCCTGTGCTGGGATTACAGTAATACAACACCACTCCTGGTTTTTGCTGGGCTGGGATCAAGTCCAAGGCTTCATGCACTCTAAGATAATGCTCCACTGGCTGACTACATCCCCACTGCCTTTTCTTTTTTTTCAGTACTGGGAATTATGTCTGTATATATATTATATGCAGATTGAGCAAGCACTCCACCTCAGGAGTTTCAGCTCCCAGACTTGGGGATGAAGGGCACTTTGGGTTTTGGTTTGGTTTCATTTGTTTGGGAGGGATTTTTTGTTTATTTTTGGTTTTTTTGAGGGGGGTTATCATGTTTGGTTTGGTTGGTTCTTCGAGACAGGGTTTCATGTCGCTAAGTTTGGTAGGCTTCGAACTCACTTGAATTCCTGATTTTTCTCCCTCTGCTTCTCTGGGATTGAAAGTATAAAAATGGAGCCGGGCAGTGGAGGAGCACACCTTCAGTGCCAGCACTCGGGGAGACAGAGGCCATGGATTGCTGAGTTTGTGGCTTGCCTGGTAGCCCTGGTCTACGAGCTAAAAACCCCTGCTTCTCTGTCCTAAGTGCCGGGATTAAAGACAAGGACCACCATGCCCAACCTGTCCATTGGTTTTACCAGTTCCCCACCCTTTCGTTGCCTGGTGATGTAAAGCATGCTTAGACCTTAAGTCAGGCATGACCACTCTCTTAGGGTGGCTTACCTGAGAAAAGTAAGTCAAGTCACCTACCTTGAATTGGAGAGGAGTGCTACTCTGAGGCTGTCTCCAGATGACAGTGACCACCCCGACAATGAGAAGAAACAGTAAAACAGCCGCAGCTGTCAAAACCGGGTCTCCAGAGAATAGCTGTTCTGGCTTTTGGGTCAGGATCAGGCACAGGAATACCAGGAAGAGGACTGAAAATCAAGTTGGGGAGAATTATATCAGGTCCCTGGGCCATATTCCAAATCTGTCTGTACTGTGTCCCTGCCTCTGCTAGTGATGCCTTCCCCATGCTGTCAGCTTCCTTGCAAATGTCCAAGAGGAAAGTCACAGCGCTTACCAAGCAGGGAGGCACACCCGTAGACAATATAGCCAGATCGCAGAGTTGGGGCGGTGTCTGTGAGGAAGCAGAGGCTCCTTGCAATTCCTGGAGTCCCTGCTGCAGAAATAGGCTCCATGGATGAAGAAAGCTCAAGAGCAGGCTCCATGTTGACAGTTCCACACTCAGATTCCTCCTTCTTACAGGAGCTTAAATTCTGGTCTGACTGGTACCTGAATGAGTGAGATAGCATGGGAATTACCAGTTGCTCCCATGCATCCAACGGACAGTCAGGATAAGCACCCGGCCAACTTCACGTCCCTGTAATCCTCATCCAAAGTGTGGTGGAATCTCACCTGAGGACCAGAACAGAGAAGGCCACCAAGGTGTAGGCGAGCAGGGACCCAATGGATGAGAGGTCTACCAGGTCGCCGAGCTCAACGAGGAAAGCCATAAGAGCTATAGAGATAAGAATGCAAAATCGGTGTATAAACTATGAGGGATTATCTAGTAGACACCGCAAAGCTGACGAAATTGATAAGGCTGGTTGTCTACCTGCGATGGTTCCACAAAGGACAGTGGCCAGGACAGGGGTGTGTGTTCGAGGATGTACTTGGGCAAGTATCCGGAACAGAAGCCCATCCTCTGCCATGGAGTAGACCACCCGGGGCACGGGGAACATGGCACCTAGGAGGCTATAAAAGCAAAGGAGACTCTAAATAGTGACAATAGGTAGGCCCTACTCCTTGAAGACATTTCTCCTCCCTCCCTTCTCTGCATCTCCGAGGCCGGGACAGCTCAGAATCCAGCAGCAGACGAGAGAAACCTTTGATACCAACCTGGATGAAAGGGCACATAATGTTCCCACAGCCACTGCATATTGGGCGGGACCCCATCCAACGTGGATAAACGCCTGGGGCAGGGGACTGTCAATGTCAATCTGGTAGTAGGGTATCATGAGGGTGAGTGCCGAGGAAACACCAAAATACATCAGAAAGCAAATGAAGAGTGAGGCCACGATGCCCAGCGGGATGGAGCGCTGGGGCGAGCGGACCTCTTCCCCTGCAGGGATGAAACAGACCTTGAGTCAGAAGCATTCCCAGGCCACCACGCAAACCCTCTCCCCTCCTACGCTCCCCAAAGCAGGCCAATCAATCCTCTACCAGCCCTGCGTCCAAGGGCAGTCCAAACATGTCTACGCATTTGATAGTACAGACAGAGGGACTACCACACCTGTAGTCGCAATACAGTCGAAACCAATGAAGGCGAAGAAGCACGTTGCCGCTCCTCGGAGAATCCCACTCAAACCAAAAGGCGCGAATCCTCCAGCGCCCAGGGGACCCAAGCTGTGGCCAAGAGAAGGAAGGAAGGAAACATTGCAGCGAACCAGGCCATGGTGGGTCATGCCTGTAATCCCAGAACTCGTGTTGTCTATGAGGTGAATACAGAATGGTGGGACCCGAGGCAGGTCCATGGCGGGTGAGAGACAGAGACCTTATGTGGAAAGTTTATCGGGAGAGGTTAGAAAACAAAGGAAGGAAAGAGAGAAGAGAGAGAGAGACAGAGAGACAGAGGGGCCAGAGAGCACTGCCTCCTCAGGGAAAACACCAGAAAACGGGAAGGTGGGTGGAGCTTTCCTCTAATGGGGCCAAGGTATCCCAGAGAGGTGGTGCACTGTGCTAGGTTTCCAAGGGGCAGAGCCAGGTTTGCCTGGATTGCACCAGGAGGATCATGGGTTCATAGCCAACTCTGACCACATACCTCAGAGCCAGCCTGGGCTACACAAAGCAAGACCTTGTCTCAAAAAAAAAAAAAAAGTGAAGATTCGGACAAGGGATGCTAAGGTACACCTGACTTGGATAGAGTGCTTGCTTAGCATTCATGAAGTTCTGCGTGTGATGCCAATACCACACCGTGTGTGTGTAATCTTGGCATTTGGGAGGTGAGAGCAAGAGAATCAGAAGTCTGTGGTAATCCTTCGCTACATACTGAGTTTGACACCAGCCTGGAATCTGTGATAACCTGCCTCAAAAAACACCGTCAAGTGGACTAAAGAGATGGCTCAGCAGTCTAGAGCACTGGCTGCTCTTCCAGAGGACCTGGGTTCAATTCCTAGCATGCATACGGTACTTTACAACCATGGTTAACTCCAGCTGGAAGGGATCCAAGGCCCCCTCTTGGTCTCCATGGGAACCAGGCATGCACACTGTGCAGGCAGATACATTCTGCCAAAATCACTCATCTACAGATAAACATCAAAAAATTGCCAGGCTCAGTGATACACGCCTTTGACCCCAGCACTTGGGAGGCAGAGGCCAATGGGTGTCTGTGAGTTCAAGGCCAGCCTGCTCTACCCAGGGAGATCCAGGACAGCTAGAGTTACATAGTGAGAAAAGAACTGTCAGAAAAGTCTTTTTAAAAAAACGACTGAAGAGGTATATACAGTTTCCACTGTGGCCCTCTGTTGGCACACAGTTCTGAGCTGCTGTACGCCTCGTTTTGGGTCCACTAGCCGAACCCCTTACTCTCCACACATTCCTGGCTTGAGCCAGCTTGTGCCCTCCAGGGCTCCCTGACCTGTCAGTGCTGTTGGACTCTGCCATGGCGAGCTTGTAGTCATCCTCTGTGAGCTGCCAGTTGTGTAGACTGCCCTTCATGAAGCCAGAGAGGGAGACAAAGCACAACACCAAAAGATTCACTCCTGTGAAAACCCTGGTGACTAGGGCAGACTCCCGGGCTCCCAGGGCCAGGATTCCTGCAGGAAGACGAAAATGGGAAGGAGGCAGTAAAAAGAAACCCTGAGATGGCTGCCGGGGCACACACCTGCCGTGCCGGCACACAAGAGACGGAGTTAAGAGTTTAACCAACCCGGCAGCACAAACATCAAACCTGTTACTGAGTATCTTGTCCCACCAGGTCACAAATAAACATGCGGATGCTCTATTAGTTATAAAACTGTTGGCCGATGGCTAGGGCTCCTTATGGGCTAGCTCTCTCTTAATTGTTAACCCATTTCTATTAATCTGTGTATTCCCAAGTGGTCTTGGCTTACTGGAGAATGCCCAGACCTGTTACTCCTTTGTGGTCTACATGGAGTCTCTTCCTGGACTCTCTCTCTGCCTACCTTTCCCAGAATTCTCCTTGTGCCCTAGCCCCGCCTACCTTCCTGCCTCTATTGGCCAAACAGTGTTTTATTCATCAACCAATGAGAGAAATATGTATACAGAAGGATATCCCCCATCACAAACCTGGCCAAAATCAAAATCTCAGGCTGGAGACATGGCACATCACATACAAGTACTGGCTGCTCTTGCAGAGGTACCACATGGTGGCTTATAACCACCCATGACTCCAGCATCAGGGGATCTGATGCCCCCTTTACTGGTACCATGGGACCACCAGGCAGATACTTGGTATGCATCCATGCAGGCCATACACAAACACATAAAATAAGTAGAATACTTTTTAAAAATCTGGTCTTTACACCAGAGAAAGGCTTTCAAGATGGCTCATCATGGGGCACACGGGGGGGGGGGGAGGGAGGGGAGGGTTGCACACGCCTTTAGTCCCAATACTCGGGAGGCGGAGGCAGGTGGATCTCTGTAACTTGGAGGCCAGCCTGATCTACAGAGCGACTTGCAGGACAAAACTACAGAGAACCCTGTCTTGAAAGACAGCCTATCAGGGGAAAAAAGCTTGCCAAGAAGACTGGCAATCTGAGTTCTGTCTCCAGGCCCTTACATGGTGAGAACCAGAGTCCACCGTTTGTCCTGTGACCTCCATATGCAAATGTCCACACATGTACACACAAATAGATTAATTACAGAAGTAGAAGCCGACTCTGTATTAGTGAATCTGAATAGAAGCTTGGGGCAGAGGGAGGCAGTACCTCATATATCCAGCGGTGAAAGCTAGGCATGCTGTTACTTAGCCCCCTACTATATACCCATAGCCCCCAACTCGGGGAAGGCCCCTCCCTCACTCTGCCCTCCTGTGCCTCGTATTTCACAACTTCTGCCAGCCACCATGCTCCCCCCCCACACACACAGACCCTCTCCCGCCTGTCTCACCAGTGAGGATTACCACCAGGCCAAAGGCAAAAAAGTCTGGATACTGGGCCATGAAGCTGGGCACTTGCAGGGGGAAGGCAGTCTGCAGGGCTTGGGAGATGCGGTTCCCTATGAGGCCGTCAAAAGCTGCGCTCCAGGCCCGGGCTACACTGGCGGAACCTGCAGGAGGAAGAGGAGTCTTTGTTTACAAGCAGAAAGTGAACCCGAAGGCTACAGAGGGAGAGAGAGAAAAATCTATTCTCAATCACTGCTGTGGGGAGGCAGTGGAAAACACCCAAGATGTGTACATAATCTCAAGAGGGTCTCTTGGGATAGGCATTTAGCTCCGTGGCAGAGTACTTGCCTAGTTTGATCCCCAGTACTACAAGAAAACAAAATGGTGGTCCAGGGAATTTAACAGCGAATGATGAAGAGCCTGTAAAACTAAAATCCTTGGCATATACAAAGAATTCCTAGCCCCACCTGCAGGTCTTTAATCACACACACACACACACACACACACACACACACACACACACGCACGCACGCACGCACCCACTCATGCACGCACGCACACATGCACTCACTCACGCACTCACACACGCATAGAGTCCTTGGTGGGCTGAGTGTAGTGACATATACCTGCCATCCCAACTTTTAGGAGGCAGATGTTGGAGGATCAGAAGTTCAAGGTCATCTTCAGTTACATAGGGAATTCAGGTGTGGAGTTGCACACCTTTAATTCAAGCACTCAGGAGGAGAGACAGGGAAACTCTGTGAGTTCAACTTCAGCTTAATCTACAGAGTGAGTTCCAGGTCAACCAGGGCTACATAGTGAGACCATGTCTCAAAGCAGAAGGGGAGAGGGCAGAGCTGAGAGACTGCTGACTGGTTAAGAGTACAGTTGCTCTTCCAGGAGACCTGAGATCGGTTTTCAGCACCCTCATCTAGTGCCTCATAACTCCTGTTCCGGGAGGCCCAATGCCTGCCTCTGGCCTCTGCAGACACCTGCACTCCCATGTATGCAAGCACACAAAATTAAAACTAAAATAAACATTAAAAACAGAAAAGGAAACAAGGGACAAAGGGGCAGGCCAGGCCAAGTGGCACATGCCTGTCATCCCAGCCCTTGGGAAGTAGAAGCAGGTATATGCAGGATTCCAGACTTGTCTTCTGCTGTATTGCCAGTTCAAAGCCAGTCTGGGCTGTGTGAGCCCCTGTATCCATAAAAATAAAACCAGAACTCCAGTAAGGCATGGTGGGTCTCCCACCTGATGGCCTGGTGGGTTTCCCACCTGTAAGGCGTGGTGGGGCTCCCACCTGATGGAATGGTGGGTTTCCCACCTGTAAGGCGTGGTGGGGCTCCCACCTGATGGAATGGTGGGTCTCCCACCTGATGGAATAGTGGGTCTCCCACCTGATGGAATGGTGGGTCTCCCACCTGTAATCCTAGTGCTGGAGAGGCAAACCTAGGAGTATTGAAACAATTTGGGGACAGCCCGACCTCCACAGTGAGACTGTGAAACAAAAGGCAATCTGTCCTCTCTTCAAATCTCATTTCTTCCAGGTCCATCCCTTAAGGAGTTAGGTAGGGAAGAGAGAGAATGGCATCTCGGGTCCTACACTGCGAGATGCTTGGGAATGAGGGTAAAAACCCACCTTGCCCACCCCACTCCACCTCATCCCCATGCCCATACCCATTCCAAGTCCCTACACCTGCTCACCAATGACGTAGGAGAGGATGAGGTTCCAGCCTGTGACAAAAGCCAACAGTTGGCCCACTGTGACATAGCTGTAGAGATATGCGGAACCCGAACACGGCACCCTGGCCCCAAACTCTGCATAACAGAGTCCAGACAGCACTGACGACAGAGCAGCCACTAAGAAGCAAATGATGATGGATGGTCCAGCTTTTTCTCTGGCGACCTCCCCAGCCAGGACATACACGCCTGCTCCCAGAGTGCTGCCCACGCCCAAGAACACCAGGTCCAACGTGCTCAGACATCGGGACAAGGGAGACTCCGACTGCTCGTTTTTCGCCAGGGGCCGCCGGCGTACCAACTTCTGGCCAAAGTGATGGACATTCTGCCACAGCATTCTTGGTGTCTTGGGGAGAGATCCAAACTGCTGGAAAACAAAGATGAGATGTCAAGAATGATCACCTGACCGGGTGTGGTGGCCCATGCCATTGATCCCAGCACGTGGGATGCAGAGGCAGATATATCTCTGAGAGTGCAGGGCCACCATGGTCTACATAGTGAATTCCAGAGCAGCCAGAATGACCTAGACTCAAGAAAAGCAAAACAAAAAAGAATGATAAAGGCAAACACCCTTCTTGAAGCCATGAACTTTCACACTAAATAAAATTCCACCAACACTCTTCTTCAAAAACAACCCACCTGGCTTCCAATTAAACCACACACACACACACACACACACACACACACACACACACACACACACACACACACACACACACACACACACACACACACACACGCACGCACAAAAAGATGTAATTTAGCCAGGCCTGGTAATACCACAAGGCATGCTTGGTGGCCAGCACTCCAGATGCAGAGGCAAGTGGATATCAGTGAGTTCCCAGAAAGCCAGAGCTGTTCCATAGAGAAATGTTGTCTCAAAACACTAAATAAATAAATAATAACTAAAATAGCTTTACTTCCTGATAGCTGAGAGCTGTCAGAGAAACCCTGTCTCCAGCAGTGACAAAGAGGTCAAGACCATGCTGGAGAAACCCAAAGAAGCAGCTGACCTGAACAAGTGGGAGGTCACAGACCCCAGTCTGACAGCTGGGGAACCAGCATAAGAATGAGCCAGGCCCCATGAACATGGGCATCAGTTGGGAGGCCTGGGCAATCTATGGTGCCTCTGGCAGTGGAACCAGTATTTATCCCCTCATGCACAAATGGTCTTTGGGAGCCCATTCCCCATGGAGGGATACTCTCTCAGCCTAGATATAGTGGGGGAGGGCCTAGGGCCTGTACCAAGTGAGGTCTCATTCTCCCTGGGGAGTGGATGGGTGACAGAATGGAGATTAGTGGAGGGCATGTGAGGATGGGAGTAAGAGGGAACTGGGATTGATATGTAAAATAAGATTGCTTCTAATTTAAATTAAAAAATGTATATTTTAAGAAAACATAAAAAGGAGAAACCCTGTTTTAAAAAACTAAATAAATAAAAGTGAATGGATGAATGAATGAATAAATAAATAAAATAATTGCAACTTCTGGTAGCTGCGTGTGAAACCCTGTCTCAAAAGACTAACTAACTAACTAGATACATAAGCTGTAACTTCCTATAGCTGTGTGTGTACCTGTCCCCTACCCTTCTCAACAACCCAGGGTTTGTCCTGCAGTAAATTTGAAAGGCTGAGGCCCCTCACTGCTCCAATAAAGCAGCCTCAGCCTGCTGAGATCAAGTCTGTCTGCTTCTTCTGTCCTGGAACTCGATCGGTAGACCAGGCTGGCCTCGAACTCAGAGATCCACCTGCCTCTACCTCCCAGGGCTGTGATTAGAGTCATGCACCACCACACCTGGCAAAATTGCAGCTTGTGTGTGTGTGTGTGTGTGTGTGTGTGTATGATTTAACTGCTTCATTTTTCTTATACAGAGGACCAAAGTTCTGGTCTCAGCACTCACAAGGAATGACACACAACCACCTGGAACTCCAGTCCCAAAGGACTGACTCTTGACACACCTGGCCTCCACAGGGACCAGTACTTAGCCAGATTCATGAGCCATGATTTCTATCGCACCTGGGACACAGGTGACCCTTCAACTTAATGTTGAGATAAACTGTTCACAGTTTTGGGATTTTAGCCTGTGAGCTGTCAAGAGTGCTGAATTCTGGAATGATGACTCACATACCTCTAATCCCATTATTGAGAAAGACAGCTGGAGGACCAGCAGTTGGTGACCAGTTTTTGTTGTTTTTGTTTTATTTTTTGTGGGGTTGTTTTTGTTTGTTTCAAGACAGGGTTTCTCTGTCTAGCCTTGGCTGTCCTGGAATTCAGGCTAGCCTGAACTTGGATCCATGCCTCTACCAGGAGATCTTACTCTTATACAGACATACATGCAGGCAAATACACGAATGCACATGAAGTATAAATTATTTTTTTAATCTCTATGTAGACCTAACCTCAATATTAATAGAACATAAAGACTTTGGGACAGAAAGGATGCACATTTATACAAGGATATCTGTTTAAACTATGTTCATAGCAGCATTATTTGTAAAAGCCAGAACCTGGAAGCAATTAGCCAAAGAATGGATAAAGAAAATGTGGTACATTTACACAATGGAGTATTACTCATTGGAAAAAAAAAACAAACAATGGAATCTTGAAATTTGCAGGCACGAGGATGGAACTAGAAGAAACCATCCTGAGTGAGGTAACTCAGTCACAGAAAGAGAAGCATGGCATGCAATCACTCATATATGAATAATAGACACAGAACAACAGATTACCAACCTACAATCCACACCTCCAGAGAAGCTAAGAAACAAGGAGGACCCTAAGAGAGACATACATGGTCCCCTGGAGAAGGGAAAAGGGACAAGAGCTCCTCAGCAAATTGGGAGCATGGGGGGGGGGAGGGGAAGGGAGAGGGAGGGAGGGATAGAGGGAGGAGAAAGGAAGGCCTGAGGGGAGGGGGGAAGGGGCATCATGAGGGATCAGAAAGATTGAGTCAGGGGATGAATAGAGGAGAGCAAGAAAAGAGATACCTTAATAGAAGGAACCACTATAGGTTTAAAGAGAAACCTGGCACTAGGGAAATATCCAGCGATATGCTAGGATGACCCCAACTAAGAATCTAAGCAACAGTGCAGAGGCTACCTTAGATGCCACCCTAGAGCCTTTATCCAGTAGCTGTTGGAAGCAGAAGCAGACACCCACAGCTAAACACTGAGCTGAACTCCTGGAATCCAGTTGTAGGGAGGGAGGAGTGAGGAACAAAGGGGTCAAGACCATGCAGGGGAAACCCACAGAAACAGTTGACCTCAGGAAGTGGGAGCTCATGGACCCCAGACAGACAGCTGGGGAAACAGCATAGGACCCAACTAGGCCCCCTGAACAATTAGGAGACCTAGGCAGCCTATGGGGGCCTCTTGCAGTGAAGTCAATATTTATTCCTAGTGTGCAAATGGACTTTGGGAACCCATTTCTCCATGGAGGGCCACCCTCTCAATATAAATACACCGGGGAGGGCCTAGACCCTGCCCCAAATGATGTGACAGACTTTGATGATCCCTCATGGGAAGCCTCACTCTTCCTGGGGAGTGGATGGGGGGGTGTTGTGTGGATAAGGGGGTTGGTTGGGGCATGGGAGGATGGGAGTGAGAATGAGATTGCTTCTTTTAAAATATTTATTTATTTATCATTTATTTGTTTATTTATTTATTGTGTATACAGTGTTCTCTCCTCATGTATGCCTGCAGGCCAGAAGAGGGCACTAGATCTCATTACACATGGTTCTGAGCCATCATGTGGTTGCCGGGAATTGAACTCAGGACGCCTGGAAGAGCAGTCAGTCCTCTTAACCTCTGAGCCATCTCTCCAGCCCCGGAGATTGTTTCTAATTTAAATAAAATTAAATAAAAAGTCTTTGGGAGAGATGACTCAATAGTTAAAAATGCTTGCCTCACAGTCCTAACTACCAGAATTCAAACCCCCCAAATCCATGTAAATACCCCATGGATGCTGAAGCCCACCTTTAATTCCAGCCTCCAAAGGAGTCAGAGGATCCCCAAAGACTAGCTATATCAGTCAGTTCTGCATTTGATTGAGAGACCCTGTCTCAGTGAGTGATGGAGGATGATCCTGGACCTTAACTCCACATGCACACAGCCCATCCATGTTCCTACACATGACCTCACGAAGTGGGAGCTCATGGACCCCAGACAGACAGCTGGGGAACCAGCATAGAACCCGACCCACACACAGAACTGTCCGTGTAAAACACAGCTCTCACCTCAGATAGGGTAAAAGAGAGAGTTTATTCTGGAGCCAAATATGAGTGACCAGGAACGCAGATTTAGGATACTCACAGTCCCACATTCCAATGTGGAAACAGTTTCACTCATTTTTTTTATAGTTATGAAACAAAGGCATTGGTAAGCCAAGGTGCTTTTCAAACCCGTTGGCGAAAAAATTAAGTGGGTAGCTTCCGCGAAAACATTAAGTGGGTAGCTTCCGCCAAGAGGAATCTCAGCCATGGGCTTCAGATGCTATCTGATGGCTCAGACCTCTGGCTGGTGGAGAATAGGGTTTTGCTAAAGGGATGCATTCCAACGGGCTTTTTATCTGTTAAGGCAGGGAGTGTCGGGCCCAGTAGAGAGCTGTTATGGATAAAGCGTGAGGAACCTTGGGGATTGCCGTGGCAGGGGAGGGTGACCGAGGCAGAGGCACAAACATGCCGGGCAGACAGATCTTAGTGAGAAGCTTTATTAGAAAGGGGAGGGAGGAAGGGAAAAGAGGTAAAGGGACACCGGGACAGAGAGAGGATGGAAGAGGGAAACAGGAAAAGTCCTATCTGCCCCAGGGGAACAGGAAGAAGGACAGAGGGAAAGAGTTGGGAAAGACCGGGAAGAGGGTGTAAGAGGGTGGGGGTCTGTCCTTTTAAAGATGTCCTTTGCACCTGCTTGCAGACTAGTACTCATGGAAGCCTGGGCTGACCAGAGCACTGCCTGAGTGCATTCTGCCTGGCAGCATAGTGCCTGAATCCTTACAAGAGCTATTTAGGAAGTGGTCACTTACGGAATCCAAGAAAAATGATAGTCCGAGATGAACTCTAAATTAGACTCTCGACCGGCAGCATGTCAACCACCCCCCCCCCAATCATAAATTCGGATCAGTCGTCAGTGTAGAGTGTTCAGTTTGAAGATGAGTTTACTTTCCTGGAACGTCTGTTCTCAGGAGACGGACATTAAGGGTTGTCAGGAGCTTGAGGTTAGTCTGGGCCACAGACTGAGACCCCGTCCTGAGAAAACTGAATGCATTAAAACGGATGAAAGACATCATCCAGTCAGGTATACTGTTTCAAGCCTGTAATCCCAGCACTCAGGAAGGAAAAAAAAATTAAGATAATCCCAAACTGGG